CCTCCGCTTCACGTCTGGCTCCTGATCACCCTGTCGGGGTTTATTCTGAGATAACACCCGGCTGGATGTACATTATCCCTTACATGACAACCGGTAAAAGCTGATCCGGGTAACTGAAGTCGGCGCCCTACTCTTGCTTGGAACGTTTTTTTTTCTTGGTGGAAGATTTGCGTTTGTTTAGCTAATAAAATATTAAAACTCGATTCAAAATGGTGTACAATTATTTAATTATGTCATCATGGTATCGCAGACTCGCTCTCGTTTCATACAAACGCAGCTGCTGCCATTTTGTTACGATTGTTTTGTATGCTGTAATGGATTATAAGAGAACTAACAAACTGGTAAGGTTTTAAAACATTTTCGTCTTAATTCTTTTATTGCCTTAATTATTTTTGTGGTGAAATGTTGTGTAATAAGTGGTTTGAGATACCAGGATGACATAATTAAATAATTGTACACCATTTTGATTCGAGTTTTAATATTTTATTAGCTAAACAAACGCAAAGCTTCCACCAAGAAAAAATAGTTCAAGCAAGAGTACAGCGCCGACTGCTGTTACCCAGATGAGCCTGTGTTATTAGCTTTTACCGGTTGTTATCAAGGGATAGCATACCTCGGAATGTCGCGACTGACCAATCAGAATCAAGTATTCCACAGAGCCGTGTAATAAATAAAATGATCATAGTTTTGTATCTAAAGCAGCAGTATTCATGATCTAATTCTAAATCTGATAACTGATTCCACTTCACAATTGCATTGTTTAGAAAAAACTGATCATGCCTATTTTTTAGTCTAAAATAGGATATTAGATGTGACCTTTCAAAAATTATCCACCCTTTGTAGTGGGAGTTTGTTTGCACAAAAATATATAATTCTAATGAGTCACACATTTGTTTTAAATTGAGAATTTCTTATTTTACTAACCAACAATACTGTTGAAACATTATTTTGTAACAACTCAGCAGTCTAGCAAAGGTTTGCATGACTAATGAGGAAAGATTTAGAAAATCATAAAAAGAACCATAACATTTTAAAAATTGTATGGAACATTCGACTCATATTCATGCTATAACTACACAAAATGTAGAAAAACCTGATGAAACACTAACCTTGATAACCTCCCCCATGGGAGTCGTGACCTCATCAGACAATTCCATCATCTTTAGAGCCATGAGAGCAATCTGGACAGCATGGGTCGGACTCTCTTTGTGTAAGCCTCCAGCTACACAGTACGCATCGCCAATGGTTTCCACCTTGAACACACAAATGAGGACATATGAAAGGTTACGAGAGCAGAGTGCTAAATATTTCATAACACACCTCTGGGTATATTCAAGGTTCATGCCGTAATATTCTGATTTGCTTCTCATGTGACATCAATGTGTTAGCTAAAACCAACTTATAGAACAGTTCTGCATTTGCACAACAATTACAATTAATATTTAATTTAAAGTGAAAACGTGACGTGACGTGTA